GTTTGGCCATTTAGATTTATTGTATTAAAATTAGAAGATTTGTACTACCTAACTTGAAGGCTTATTATATAGCTATAATAATTATGACAGTATTGCACTGGCACACAGATAGATCAATGGCACAAAATAGATTTTGCATCTTTTGTCAATTGTTTTTGACCAGTGTACAATATTTAAAGGTAAATAAAACAATGGATGTACAAACCTCTACATTGGCAACTTCAAAATACTGCCCCAAGAAATTAAAGAAGGTATGTATAGAATGATGTACCATCTTCATGGATTGGAAGACTCGGTTTTGTTAAGATTTCATGCCCTCCCACATTAATCATTTCAGATCTCCATCTGGCTTTTCTATTTAAAAGAAATTGGGAATCTGATGTTAAAACTCAATATGGAAGTGCAATAGTCTGAAATAATGAAAAGTTTGAGAAAGATGAACAAACTTGAGGACTTAAGCTATCTGACTTCATGACTTAATATAAAGGTGTACTAATCAAGTCATTCTGGCATTAGCATCAAGGTAGACAAGTAATCAAAGAAATAGAGTAGAGATTGTAGAGCAGACCCACACCTACATGGTTAGCAATGGCTATCCTTATGCAATAAAAATGAGCTTTGATTCATACATCATACCATATATACAAATTTACTCAAAATGATCATAATCTAAATATAAAACCTAAAATATAAAAATTCCAAAAGAATCTTTGTGACCATAGATTATCAAATAATTATTCAATATCACATGGGAAGCTTGATTCTGAAGTGAAAAATATCATAACTTGAAAAATTATACATTGATGTATTTAAAACTTCTCTTCCAAAGACCCTGAAAAGAATGAAAGACAAGCCACATACCTGGGGAAAAATACATGTTAATCACAAAACTTATAAAGGATATGTATTTTAATTTATAAAAAACTCTAAAAACACAATTATAACATACCCAATTGAAAAGGTCAAAAGGTTTGAAAAGGCATTTCACCAAAGAATATAAATGTATGGCCAGTACACACATGAAAAGATCCTCAGCATCATTAGAGAAACAGATTCAAAGAACTGGTCACACCATATGTCCATGATGATATGAAGCAAAAGCAGCTCTTGTACATACCAGCTAGGAATGTAAAATGGTCAAACCACTTCAAAAAACAGTTTAGCAATTCTTCATAAAATTAATGTACTACTCTAGGACCCAGTCATCTGACTCCTAGTTATATACCCAAGAGAGAAGGACTATAGGCCCAAACTGAGACTTGCTCATGAAGATTCATAATTGCTTCATTTGTCATACTCCAAAATGAAATGAACTCAGATGTGCTTAGGTGGATGAATGGATGAATATCCCATAGTACCTCTCAAATGAAAGCAAAACCTGTCATTGTCATGACAGTGAGGTTTTTTTTTTTTTTTTAATAAATCAATTAATATAATTGAGTTGTTGACAGCAATTAAGAAGCTGAGAACAGTTAGTCATGTTCGACCCCGGTTCACCACTTGATTGGAATCTTGTAGATGGTATTTATTGCAATGACAAATGGCTAAAAGAGTAAAACATCCCTCTCAACTCCCAAGATTTTTACTGTGCTTTGTATGTGGTCTTTTGTTTTTCAAGGGTAAATGAAATATTTCCTGGTAGGATCTGCTAAAGGGTATCTTGATGTTGACTTCACTGTTTATTATCTTAGGCAAGCTGTAGGTTTGTCTCTACTGGAGGTAGGACCTGGGTGAGATGCATCGCTATGTGAGAGGACTGCAGTAGCCAGTGGTTAGGCAGACCTGTCACAACAATGATAAAAATCACAAGTCATTGAGCTTCCTGCTAAATGTTGGACACATGCTTTGTGTTCTTTTATTACTATTATTAAAAATTTTCAATATTAACACTATTGCAGATGTCCCCATTCTCCCCTCTTTTGGCCACCTCCACCCACTCCCACCTCCTCCTCCCTTGGCCTTCACCACAATGTTGTCTGTGTCCATGGGTATGTATATACATTCTTTAGCTAATTCCTTCATCTTGTTATCCAGTCACTCCACTCCTCTTCCCTCTGGTACCCACCAGTCTGTTCCATGCTTCTGGTTCCATTTTGTTCACCAGTTTATTTTGTTTAACCCTCACAATTACCCTTCTTGTTTGGTGGTATTACCTTCCTGTTCTTGCTCAGGGGATTTTACAGTTATGGTGTGAATTATGGTAAAACCTGGATTAGGAAACCAATCCGGCTTCTAACTGCTACCCTGGCTGCAGAGGGAGGTGAGATGTGTGTGCATCAGTTAAATGTTATGCACTTGTGGTCAGGAGGATTCCTGAGCAATGTCTGAAACTGTGGATAGTACCAAACTCTACATTACTATACACATATCCTCCTATTTAATAGAGGGAATATGCTAATTGACTTCCACACCCTCACAAGATGGCATTGCCCACAGCCACAAGATGGTGGCACGCAGCCCTCTCAGCCCTGCCTCATCCAGCTGGAGTCCCCCAGTCCCTTTAGTTCCACCTTATCCAGCCGGAGTCCCCCAGTCCCCTCAGCCATGCCTCATCCAGCTTTAGTCCCCCAGTCCACTTAGCCCTGCCTTATCCAGCTGAAGTCCCCCAGTCTCCTCAGTCCTGCAGGGGAAGATAGTTGGGGGCAGTCAAACCAGCAGGGGAGGGCAGTTAGAGGTGATTGGCCCAGCAAGAGAGGGCAATTGGAGACGATAATGCTAGCAGGGGAGCAGTTAGGTGTCCATCAGGACAGCAGGGGATTGGTTATGGGGCGATCAGGGTGGCAGGCAGAGTGGTTGGGGCAATCAGGCAGGTAGGTAGGCGAGTGGTTAGGAGCCAGCAGTCCCAGAATGTAAGAGGGATGTCCGACTGCTGTTGAGGCCTGATCCCTGAGTGATTGCCCCAACCATGTGGGATCAGGCCTCAACCGGCAGTCAGACACCCCCCAAAGGGTCCCAGATTAGAGAGGGTGCAGGCTGGGCTGAGAGACATCTCCTACCCGTCCCTCCCAACACACACACACACCGGTCCTCTAGTATCTATGCTAAAGTTTAATTTATAAATTAATTTCAGTAAGAGATTAGCAATAACAAAATAGAATAATTATAATAATATACTGCACTAAAGGCTATGTGAATGTTTTCTCTCCCTCAGACTATTTGATTGCACTGTATTCACACATCTTGGGATGTTAGATGAGATAGTGCAGATGGGATGAGATGGAGTGAGGAGAAGGATGTACTCTGTGACACAGTGTTAGGCTACTGTTGATCTTTGACTTTATATCAGAAGGAGGATCATCTGCTCTGTAACCATGTCCATGGTTGAGTGTCAGGAGCAGGGAAATTTGGTATTTTCGGACCATATTTGATCAAGGGTACCTGAAACCTACAAAGGGGTGCCTGTACATAAAATTAACCTGTCATACTCAGAATTTCTGGGCCAGTTTCTGTTGAGAAGGGCAGTACTTAAATTTTACCTTCTGGAGAAGAGGTGGTGAGGATTTCTCTAGTTCATCGCTGTCCAATCAACCTGTAATGTGAGCTACACGTCATTTTTAGTTTCCTGATAAGCACATGGATAAAAGAAAAAGTAACAGGTGAAATTACCTTTTAAATAGTTAATTTAACCAGATACACCCAATTTATAATTTCAGTATTATATCAGTATAACATTATCAACACTTTATTATGTTTTGTTGCAGGAGCTTGAAATTGGTGTGTATATTGACACTTCTACTAGCACATGGCCAGTCAGAAGCTAAGTTTTCATCTAAGGCAGTGGTCAGCAAACCACTGCTCAAAAGCCACAATCAGCTCTTTGGCTCCTTGAGTGTGGCTTGGCGTTAGAACACTTCTTCAAAACAGACTCTCCCAGGCGGAAAACCGACTTCTGCGCCTGGGCCACAAAGTTTCAGTCGCACTGTACGTGCGCGCCCACACAAGGTATTTTGTGGAAGAGCCACACTCAAGGGGCCAAAGAGTCACATGTGGCTCACGAGCCACGGTTTGCCGACCACTGACCTAAGGCCACAATCTGTGTTTACATTGATAAACTCCTTCACAATGTAGATTCACATTCCCAAACTGCCCCAGATAGACTTACACACTCTTTCAATAAGTGAATCCAGTATCAGTTTTAAATTTATATTAATTAAAGTTAAATACCACGTTTCACATGCTCACCAGCCAGTGTAGCTCCTGGAACTAAAAACTGATGAGACGCAGTGATTTCTTCGAATGTGTGTGGAGGAGGGGTGAGTAAAGGAGAGAAAGGTGCCCATCGAAGGGCAGCCATGAGTCCTGTGTGAGGCGCTGAGCCCACTTGTGGGTGAGATGTATGTGTGGATAGCTCTATTATATCTACCTGGGAGATACAGTTTAAGAGCTAGCGAATACCAGTGTGAATGTTTCTTTTATCCCATTTAAATGGTAATTTTCCTTCACTTCTAACAGTATTTCCTTTGGTACCAATGTATAGCTTTATTTTATTATTTTTTTCAGATTTACCTTTAAAATTATAATAAGTTTTATACTATATATTCAGTGAGATTTTTTTATAATGACTTTAAGGTAACATAGTTTGTCAAATGACTTCAAATACAGTGCTAGGCCAGAGCTAAAATTAAAATTCCTGTCTGTAAGTTATATGTGAATTATAGATTGTGTATCATTCTTGCATTCCAATAGAGAAATAAAAATTGGGGCTGTGTTCTTTCTTACTCTGAGAATAAATTTTAAATGTCCCAAATATGTATGGCATTGAACTGTACTCTTAAAATTTCATAGAAATAAGTTTCTTTTTAATTGTTAATAACAGGTTTAGCCCTTTATTTCCAATATTTATGGTTACTCATGTACAACACTTCTTGATGTATTACAGGGGAAAAGCCTTTCAAATGTGACGAGTGTAACTTTGCCTCCACAACCCAGTCTCACCTGACTCGGCACAAACGGGTGCATACGGGAGAGAAGCCCTACCGATGCCCCTGGTGTGACTACAGGTAAGGACTCTTTCTGACAGGTAGAGCACTCAGGTCACTGCCAGGGGTTAAAACCTTGTTAAAAGTTACAGAAACAGTGTCTCTGGTCAGCATGAATTAGCACAGTTGAAAGCATCATTAACTAGTTAGCGAATTTAATTCACCACCTCATTTTAGTGACTCTTTTGAAAATAATAAAATTCTTTTCCATTTTCTATAATCTTTACATTTAGGATTTACAATCCTTTGGTACACCTGAATTTCAAGTGGTTTAATTTCTTGGCCAAAGTAAGGAACCATTTCATTTAAATAGTCATTCAGTGCATATGGCTTCTTATCTGCTATGTGAAGCACTAAGGCATGGAGATAGCATTAGAAAGGCTTCCTACCTTTAAGGGTGTTACAGTGTAATCGTTGACTTGTAATGAAATCACTTCAGTAATCACTTTAGTACAGAGACCCTGGGTAAATACAGACGCCAGAGCAGTGTATAGAGGAGGAACACGTTTGGTCAGAATAAGTCCTATTGGAGCAAGCATTTCAGCCTGCTTAGAAGATTGGTCAATTTCAGATATATTTATGTTCTACAAGCAATCAAGAGGTATTGACAGAGTAGCATTTTTATGTTCAAGGTATGTTGGAGGTCTATGTGTGCTTGTGAGGTCCTTTTGACAAAGGACCCTGCCCTGTTGCAGTGTTGTGGTCAGTGGCAGCAAAGTAGAGATACAGAGAAATGGGAGAGATTCAGAAAGTGGAGTCATCCTCTGTGACCAGGTGTGTGTAGGAACAGAGGGTAGAGGGACCATAAGATGGGATGACGTTGTACTTGGAGCCTGTGAGTTGGGTCAGCACTCTTGAGGAGTCTGTGAGACACCACATGGTGTGCAGGCAGCAAGTGACATCTGCCTTAGGAGCTCAGCCAGCAAACTGTAGCCTGAATCTTAGTGGGAAGGCCTTCTTCATGCTGGAGCAGAAGCTCGTATGGTGCGTGTTACACTTGCTTGTTAAATATTATAATCTGTACCTTAAACCTGATGACTTCTTTATTTTTTGTTTATTTGTTTTAAGTTTAAATTCTTTAATGTATAACATAAGTCCCCTTTCCCCTCATTGACCTTTTCCTGCTCCACCTCCCCCAACCCCCAGCACATGCCCTCACCTTCCCTCCTGCCCCCTGTCTGTGTCCATTGGTTATGCTTATTTGCATGCATGCAAGTTCTTTGGTTGATCTCCTACCACTCACACCACCACCTCATAGGTTGGACAGTCTATTCGATGCTTCTATGACTCTGGATCTGAAGCCCTCTTTAAAAGACTGGTTTTTGTATGTCTCTTGATGTAGCTTTTGCATTCAGTAAATATATTGCCATAATCTCTATTATTATCCTCATTATTGCATTAAGTTTTATTTTAGAGGTCATCTAATAGTACAGAGATATTACAGATATATTTCATTCATTAATTATTAATTCTTTCAGCATTTTATGAGTTCCAACACTAGATTGGTGTTTCTCAGAAATTTGGTAAAATGGTGATCCTCTTAGAGGTAGTCACAGAAATTCTAAGATGCTTATAACTTGAGTTCTTAAAAAATAAATGTTATTGGAGGCTCTTTTTTCTTATTAAAGAGGTCATACCATGTAGTTGCCTTCCCTATAAAACACAAAAAAGAAATTAGAAAGTTATAAAAATTTCCCTTAATTATCACTCCTACTGTTAGGATTATATCTTTTTAGTCTGTACTCTATGCATAAGGTTTGAGTTGTTGTTTGGGGCTTTTCTGTTTCTTTCACTGTAAATTTTATATTTCACATTTAAATTGTAACTATCCTTATGCTTAATTTATTTTGCATAACTATGGCTTTCAAGCTGTTATTTTTAAGTAGCAGAAATATTATTTCAAACAAGGTCATGTACAGATCCCATGTATTTGAAAAATGGGAGAATTTGGGGCAAGGATTAAAAGAGAGAAGGAAAAGTCCTATCTAGATTTTTGTGTTTATCCTTGTTTTTTGTTTTTTAAAGAAATTGCTAGAAGTATGATTTAAGAATTTTGATAGTATTATTACAAAGGCTGGAATTGAATTTCGTTTTGCTGATTAAGACTATGCTTTAGTCAACTCTTAAGTCTTGATTTGCATAAATATATTTCAAAATATTTCAGGTTTCCTCTTTGAAATTGTTATACCTTTGCTAAGGTTGAGGTTGTATTACTTTTCCCTCTCCATGTGATCTCCCTGAAATAGCATCACTTCCATTGAGACATGCACTTGAGCCAGCAGGACCCATCTCTGTTAGCTGTGTTAGATCTCTGTGTGCATGCAGTAAAAAGAGGATGTGTTTTCTAAGAATACTGTGCTTGTTCCATGAATCAGTACTCAGGACATTTAAATCTAGTCATACCTACCACATTACTTTTTGAAATGCTTACAATCCCTGATAAAAGGGTGATTTTATATTTAAAAAATTTAAATAATTGTTATTGAAAGAAGAGTTTGAACAATTTTTGTTCATTTGAGTTTATTATCCTGTGTACATATGATTAGGTTTGCTTTAGTGAACAAAAGTACAGAAAACTTGGAAGAATGTGAATGCTTCTGAAGTTAGGGATTATGAATGAAATGTGGAATTTACAACAGATATCTTTGTTTTCTTGATGATAAGAAAAAGATTTAAAAAGGAGCAGATAATTAAGTTCAAAATAATTGTTTTGGTTGCATAGCATAAAAAAATGCTTACCACACTTACCTCACAACAATAAGAAAACATCTTCTCTCATAGGATCAAGTAAATTTGAATATAGATGATTTCTGTAGAATGAAAATATAAGATGAACACATTTGCTAAGAAGATTAGGTCATATTTGGGTTATTGATACCTTTCCATATTAGTTTATTACTTAAAATATTTAATTTTTTCCACTTAGATTCTCATTTGTTTAATATAGATACATAAAAGTGATTCCTATAGAGTCTCCTTATCTTTGCCATTATTAACACTTATTTTCAGGTAAGTAACCATCATTAGAAATTGCAATATTATTTAAATTTCATTTGAAAATACAGTTTTTCATTTTATAAATTGAACATTATTGTACAAATACTGGTAGTAATAACTGTTTATGAAAAATGTGGATATAGATTTGTTTACAAAAGAATTTTATAATTGGTCTTTTGAACCTGGGGCTATTTTTCAAGTCTGCATTATTAATTTAGGCAATGACATTTCATTCTATTTAGATGTAAACATGTACCCCTTTCCCAAGCTTTTACTGTCTAAAATATTCAAACATCTAATCAATTACAACTCAGTATATTTTATCATTACTCCAAAATTTTTCACCATTAATTATTATTCATTATAATTTCAAAGCATAAATTGAGATTCATAGCAACTGTCCTATATTATTTATGCAGCAAATTCATTAGATTTGTTTCTACATTAAAATGGAAGCAATCTAACATTTTCTATATTTTTATTTCCCTTTGCTATGTATTGTCACTTCTATATTAATGAGAAATAGAAAAGCTTTAATATGTTGTAAGTACGCTCTCTAATAATGTGAATCTGTTTCCCTGTAGATTTATTAATATCAAACTGTACACTATTTCACCGAGGGCTCTGGCTTTCACATAATAGTAGGTGGCCCTAATTGGACTTTCTTTTACATGAATAATCTTCTCATTGGCTTCCATTTTTTATTTAGTATTTATGGGGGAAATACAATAAATGCATATTAAATAGTAAATGACTGAGAAGTCACAAAAAGTAGCACAAATTACTACCTGCAGTATTAAAAATATTAAGGATAATTCTATGCTGCACTTCGTCATTTTGTAAATTAAAGAAAACTAAAATTTCAAGCAAAACTCTGGCCATTTGATCCTTTATTTATTGTATCACTTTGATCGACCTTGGAGTAATCTCATCTCTTTAAGACTCTGCTTTGGGTCAGATTTTTCTCAACTGCATAACAGCCTTAGTGCTTCAACCATACATGCATTCTTCAAAAAGTTTTGTTTTGTTTTTTTATTATTCTCCTTTTCATTTTATTCACTACATTTATTCTCATTTTAATTACTTGAAATTATAACCCCAAATGGAAAGATATTATATAGCTGAGGAATAAAATCTATAATTCCTGCCTCATATTAAAAGGTTACTTTATTGTTTTGCTAAACTTGTTGGAAATACTCTTTAGTTTTTTCCCCTTACTTTTTGGTTTACTTAGCTCTTGACCATTATATACCATAGAAGTCATTGAGACTAGGTTTTGAACTCATGAACAATATTCTTTCCTTTTTTGGGTGAGTATAACATTGAATCCAGGTGAGATATTCAAATAGAAATTTGCTTTTTGTGATGCTTTCTAACATCTAAATATTTTGCCTAGTATTTTTTATAATTGAATTCAATAGGTTTTCACACATATAAGTGCCATAGGTAGAATTAGCTGTTCGTCACAACTATTTGTGTCCTAGAAATGTTTTGTCAAACAATACTTTTAATTTGATTGAATTCTATCTTAACTTTGCATAGTGCTGGAAGCATTTTGGAAGTAGTTTTAAGATGTAATACCAGAAAACTGTGCTTGCAAAAATTCTTTACTTTCCTTTTAAAAGTTTGTATTACTTTCTTAAACATATATTTCTATAAAGTGTCACAGTTATGAATATTTTGCAGGTCTTAGATAATGTGCATTTTAATTTGCTGTGTGAACATCTTATGTGTCTTATGCGTGAGGCTGTAAGATCAGCTATTTTAGGTGTTGTGGCAGCAAGAATCCAGTGTGCAATGGGATCTGTGTCCTTGTCTGCCAGGGTGTCATCAGCATCCTGAGCTAGGGAGACAGACCCAGGGGAGACTTTCTGCTTTTGGGTGATCTCTTTAGAGAGTTTCAGTTTTCCTTTGGCTTCCTGTGCAGGCAGGTCCCCAGGTTGTACCAGGGAAACAATGGATAGAACAAACTTGGCCAAATAATGACCAGGCGGAAAAATGGGTGCTTGTCTGGATAGTAGAGC